TGTTTTCTTCAAGGTTGTGTCTTCCTGGTCGAATGTACTTATTGTAAGTCGCTTTGGATAAAAGCGTCAGCTAAATGCAATGTAATGTAATGTAATGTAATGTAATGTAATGTAATGTAATGTGTCTTGTTTGTATGTTTAGTCTTGTGTGTATTTAAGTTCTGGTTTTTCTGTCTGTCTTTGTCGGTTCGTCTTGTGATATGGCTTGTTTCTCGGTGAGTGTTCTGTTAATCTTTATTTAATAGTATAGCCTTGAAATAAATGAGTTTTTTGTCACTTTAATCTGCATTTGGGTTCTGCTTCCTACACACACCGTAACAGTACGAACCGACCAAGAAATGGACCCAGCAGATGATCCATTTGAGGTTGAACTACAAAATGTTTCCTTTTATTTGGCTTGCTGCTATGATTGGTGGAAGGGAGCGTCCAGTGTTCTGCAGAAGGAGGCCGCTCTGGTAGAGGCGCACCGGTTGGCTATGGAGAAACCAGACTTGGTGACATTCTTACCTGGCTGGATTTTGAACTTCCTCTGGGTGTGTGATTTCCAGCCTGCTGACTACAAACGTCTCGGTGTGTTCCGTCTGGAGTCAACCAGTGCTTCTGCCCCAGTTCCTGCTCCTGTCCAGGAGTCGTTTTCTGGAACTCGTCGGACTTTCGGAGGTCCACGGAGCCTTCAGGCGGCTTCTAAGAGAAGGAGTGGCAAGTCCAGGCTAGCAGCCCGAGCCCCAATAGCCATGATTCAGGTCCCAGTTCTGGCACCAGCGGCCATGGTTCCGGCCCCAGCAACCATGGTTCCGGCCCCAGTACCGGGCCCAGCAGCAATGGTTCCGGCTCCAGAACCGGCCCATGAAGCCATGGTCCCTGCTACAGAACCGGCCCACACAGCCATGGTCCCAGCCCCAGTACTAGCCCCAGCAGCCATGGCTCCGGCCCCAGCAGCCATGGTTCCGGCTTCAGTACCGGCCCCAGTAGCCATGGTCCCAACTCCACTTTCGGCTCCAGGAATGGCTCTCCGGCCGACGCTAGCTCCCCATGTCCTGTCGGCGTACCGGCCGACTCCAGCACCTCGTCTCCTGTTGGCTCTCCAGCCGACGCCAGCTTCCCGAGTCCTGTCGGCGTACCGGCCAACGCCAGCTCCCCGTGTCCTGTCGGCGTACCGGCCGACTCCAGCTCCTCGTCTCCTGTTGGCTCTCCAGCCGACTCAAGTCCCCTCTCAAGTTCCCTCTCAAGTTCCCTCTCAAGTTCCCTCTCAAGTCCCCTCTCGAGTCTCTTCTCGAGTCCCCTCTCAAGTCTCCTCTCAAGTTCCTACCCGAGTTCCCTCTCGAGTCACCTCCCGAGTTCCCTCTCGAGTCCCCTCTCAAGTCTCCTCTCAAGTCTCCTCTCGAGTCATCTCTCAAGTCTCCTCCCGAGTCCCCTTTCAAGACAATTCTCAAGTCACCTCTCAAGTCACCTCCCGAGTTCCCTCTCCAGTCACCTCCCGAGTCCCCTCTCAAGTCTCTTCTCCTGTCCCCTCTCAAGTCTCTTCTCCACTCACCTCTCAAGTAATTTCTCAAGTCTCCTCTCGAGTTCCCTCTCAAGTCACCTCTCGAGTTCCCTCTCAAGTCACCTCTCGAGTCTCCTCTCGAGTTCCCTCTCGAGTCACCTCTCGAGTCTCCTCTCGAGTTCCCTCTCGAGCCACCTTTCTGTTTCCCCCTCGAGTTCCCTCTCGAGTCCCCTCTCAAGACACCTCTCAAGTCTCCTCTCGATTTCCCTCTCAAGTCACCTCTCGAGTCCCGTCTCAAGTCACCTCTCGAGTCACCTCTCAAGTCCCCTCTCGAGTCTCCTCTCAAGTCCCCTCTCGAGTCTCCTCTCGAGTTCCCTCTCAAGTCCCTATCCAATGTCCTGGTCCGTTGGAGGTTCAGCTGGGGGTCCTGCCAACCCTGTTTCCTGTGCCGTTGGAGGCCCCGCCGTCTACTCTTCTGCCGGGGGTCCTGCGAACCCTATGTCCTGTGCCGTTGGAGGTTCCACTGGGGGTCCTGCCAACTCTATGTCCTGTCCCGTTGGGGGTCCCGCCGACTACTCTTCTGCCGTGGGTCCTGCCAACCCTATGTCCTGTGCCGTTGGAGGTCGCGCCGGCTACTCTCCTACCGGGGGTCCAGCCAATCCTGTGTCCTGTCCCGTTGGGGGTCCCGCCGACTACTCTTCTGACGGGGGTCCTGCCAACCCTATGTCCTGTGCCGTTGGAGGTCCCGCCGACTACTCTCCTGCCGGGGGTCCTGCCAACCCTGTGTCCTGTCCCGTTGGGGATCCCGCCGACGACTCTTCTGCCGGGGGTCCTGCCAACCCTATGTCCTGTTCCGTTGGAGGACCCGCTGAGAGTCCTGCCAATCCCATGTCTTGTTCCGTTGGAGGTCCTGCCGTTACCTGTCTCGCCGGGGGTCCTGCCAACTCCTGGTCCTCTTCTGTGGGGGATCCTGCCGAAGCCTGTCCCACCGGCTCTGGTTCCTGTCTGGCCGACACCAGGTCCTGCCCGGCCTCCGGAGCTGTCCCGTCAGCGCCTTCCTGCCCGGCCCCCAGAGAGCCCGGCCCCCAGAGAGCCGCGGTCTTCGCCTTCGAGCCCAGCCCCCTGAGAGCCGCGGTCTTCGCCCTCGAGCCCGGCCCCCTGAGTGCCGCGGTCTTCGCCCTCGAGCCCGGCCCCCTGAGTGCCGCGGTCTTCGCCCTCGAGCCCGGCCCCCTGAGTTTCCCCGCTGTGGCCTTCGCCCCTCCATGGACTCTGCCTTGCCCCCGGGCCATCCGCCCGAGAACCCCTCCGTGGACTCAGCCTTGCACCCGGGCCGTCCGCCCGATACCCCCTCCATGGTCTCTGCCTTGCCCCTGGGCCGTCCGCCCGAGACCCCCTCCATGGTCTCTGCCTTGCCCCCGGGCCGTCCGCCCGAGATCCCTTCCGGGTCCTCCGCTGTGCTCCTGGGTTGTCAGCCCAAACCCGTCCTCCTGACCCCCTCCACCCACCCTGGAGGCCCTAGTTTTGTGTCCCTCCTCCAGTCCCCCTCTACCCACCCTGGAGGCCCTAGTTTAGCCTTGAAATAAAGGAGTTTTTTGTCACTTTAATCTGCATTTGGGTCCTGCTTCCTACACACACCGTAACACTTATATGATTCTGTTTTCTTCAAGTTTGTATTTTGTTGGTCGAATGTACTTATTGTAAGTCGCTTTGGATAAAAGCGTCAGCTAAATGTAATGTAATGTAATGTAATGTATTATACTCTTATAAGATGTATGTAGATAGTATAAGAAATGTGCAGAATATGACAGTTTAATGGTGGAGGTATAGACACATATTGATAGATGTCTTGTAATGCACTGTTGAGGAACCTGTTACGCAAGTTTTTCATCTCCGACCTTATCAGGTATTGAACAATCAATAAATAAAGAACACAGAATTATTAAATATAACACACAGAATTTGTGTGATTATACTAAATGATTTACAAATAAACACCACTGCATATTTACAACTGTTACACATGCTGATGTAACGCAAATGTGTCCAACTTGGGATCAATAAAGTATATCTTATCTTAAGATGATCGATGGCTACTGCCATATTTGCAAAATGTGCCTCTGAACCTTGACAAGTGCATGTTTCAGGCTTATCAATTGATGTAATGTAATGTTATCAATTAACAACAGGAGGGGTCACAGACATAAGACCAGCTGTTAAATAAAGCTCTTCTGACCTTAGCTGGCATGTGGGTATATATATTAATGCTGCCCATTATTGGCACAAGCCATTTTCACCCATTTATTAATTATATGTTTTACATTTGAGTGTTTCCTATCCCCTAAACGTCCAGGGATGTACACAGTTTAATACTGGCCACTTCTTATTTTGGGAAATACGAAAACGTCTTTTAAAACTACAATTCCCAGTAGAGACGTGCCATAGATAGAGAACATGTTGTGAAACACAATAGCCAGCATATGTAGTTCTGGGGACGGGGTGGGGGAGGGGGGGACGGGGTGGACCCGTTCAAATCCAATTTTGGACAGTCTACCGTGGTTCCATCCCATTTCAAGTGCTGTTCGACGCTCGGCGTAACCCTCGGAGCACACTCAAACATCCAATCACAGAGCTTGAGGACTATCACAGGGTTTGTACTTCCGGGTGTAATATTCTCTAAAGCAAATGAGCTGCTCCGACCCTCGGTCCTGACGGACTCCAACTTGTGTTTATTAATCAAACAAATAAATGATGGATTTTGTTAAACTAATAAGTTTGCGCTGTGGACCAACACTATAAATTGACGGGGAAGGGTGTAGCAATAAAGATAACACAATTAAACAGTTACACAACATAACAGAAATAATATCGATAGCATCCCTAGCAACCACCTTGGTAACAATTAAAACGTTGAATGGACACAATTTCCTGAAGTAATCTTCGTAATAACTAGCAAACTAAAGATCACGTACATCCACTGCACATATAATCTGAAATAACAACTCATATTTCTCGCATCAAATGACATCAAAACGCATTTTAATGGCCAAACTAACTTTAAATAGGCATTTTCCACCGAGAATAAAACGAATGTTGGCCATGTTTTTTTTTTCTGCAGGGAGAAATGTGAAGATCACGTGACATAGATGCCAGCCATTGGAATGAATGGTGAAATAAAACGTAGGGATCCTACAATTTCAGAGGCGTTTTTGTAGAAATACTACGTCCTACGTTGTGGACCAACGTAGTTATTACACGTTTTTTTGTGTGACTGGGTTGGTAGATGATGAAAATGCTGTTTTGTTTATAGGCTCCCAGATTAGCACGTATTTTCAGGTAATTTAAACCAGTAGTTATACAGAAAAATAAATATAAATGCGTATACTTATTTTCCTTCAGCTCTATAACTGTCAAAAGAACACTTCCAAATTACAGATGCTCTCACACAGATAACTATTTCTCATTCAATACACCATGATGTATTTTAACTCAATTGTATTGTCTATTGTATTTCCTCTAGATGCTCCAAAGCCTCCCTCTGTGTCAGTGAGTCCCTCTGCTGAGATAGAGGAGGGCAGTTCAGTGACTCTGACCTGTAGCAGTGATGCTAACCCAGCAGCTAACTACACCTGGTACAAGGAGGATCAAAATGCACACCTTTCTTCTTTCAATGAAGGACCACGTCTTGTCCTCATCTCCATCCAGTCCTCTGACCCCGGACAGTATTACTGTATGGCTGAGAACAAGCTGGGGGTGAAGACATCTAACAGCATCTCCATTGATGTGAAATGTGAGTGAAACATTGTTTTAAAGCTTTGATCTGTCCAGTCTTTGCTGGAGAAGATTGCACTGATCTTTACTACTTTCTTCAGCTCTATTGCTTCTCATTCACAGTCTGCTGTGATTCTCTGAGTAACTTCAGGTGATTTTAAGATACTACTCCAATGGCTGATAGCTCAAGTACCGCACGAAACATGTTTTCGATGGACGAGAGTTAAAATGGAACGCACACGCTATTTGTTGTTTGTTTAGATCACGCAGTCTGTTCTTCTTCTCTGTCTTCCAGTTGTTGCCTCTTTTGAATGACTAATACACACTACCGCCGCCTGCTGGTAAGGAGAATTATTGCCACTCACGCATGCGCAGTTCGTACGTGCTACTTGGCCGTCGGCTAAAGTCTTTGCGGTGTGTTCCAGTGCGACTGTTGGCCAAGAAGCAGGACACGTGAGGCGACACAACAGTCGTGTTCCGTCGGGACGTGTTCTTTGGTGTCAGTTTGGTGTGTCAGGGCCTTTAGAAGTATCACATATGTGTTCATGTTTCTAGGGAGTTAACCAATGATAGTGAATATCATCAGGATGACTCTGGGGGTCTTGATGCTGATTCCGGTGTTTCTCCTGAGTCTGTGGACGAGGTACAACCATATCAGTTCATCACTTCACACATCCTTCTAACATCTTTTAGTTTACAATAAGGAAATAAAATCTGTATTTGTTGTTGCCCTTAATCCAGGTAGAAGAAAGCTCTGCACTCCACCACTGAAGCACCTGAAGGGATAGAGGTGAGAGAGAGCGGACCTATTGACAACACTTCCCCTTCGTAAAAGCTATACTGTGGCTCATAAATGCAATGAGAAGACAACTTGCAGGTTTCATGAATGAGGGTCTGATGTTGTCTTCTCTCTCTTCATCAGTTGGACTCTATCCCTGAGTATGAGAACAACTCACACACTGCAGCACATACAGAAGACACAGAGGAGCAGGTAGACATGGTGTGAAGTCCACTCAGGTTAGAGCCTCCTGCATCAGATCAAACAGGCTCACTCCACATTTAGAGTCACAGTTCCAGCTGTAACTTTACACAAAGTCTCTCTGATTCTCTGCAGATGCTCACCTGATGGAAACAAAGAAGAAGGACATTGAAATGTCCCTGAGGAGAGCGAGGCTTTGCAGGATGTGTGCGAAGTGGATATATTCACATTCAACTCTTAGAGCTTTTATAGTCAGTATTCAGCAGCAGCAGCAAGAGATAGGAGTCAGCAGCTTGTAGGTTTAGAGAATGAGCTGCTGGAAGCTTGAAGTGAATCATGTCGAGGTGTCGAACATGATTCATCGTTAAGACCAGCCGGTGGTCAGGTGCTCTATATTACTGCTTCAACTATGTGTACATGCTTATTTGTTACATGCAGACTGCAGAGTTGTTGATATTACAGAAGTCTAGTCAATTTTTGTTTTTTTATTCCACATAATAAATAACTTTTAAGAGTCCTCGTCTGTGTCTTGGTTAATAGCTGTCCTGGCTGACAGAGACAATCAAGTCTGTTTAAAACAGAGAGCCAGAAAACATCACCTTTCACTCCATGTACAGTTTAGATGTTCACACCATGAAACATAAGCTCACTAGTGGAAGACCTTGTTAGATGTTACTGTGTAAGATTACAATCAGAATAAATCAACAGCAAGCTCTTCAACAAGTGAAGGACCATCGGACGAGTGTTTGGAAAAGATCACCTTCAAAGATCTCTAGATTTCAGGTTTTCTGTTTCACTTAGTGGTATATCATGTTTCATTATTAGCTAGCAATACAAACACAAATCTAATAAGTGTTGCTTTTGTTTATCTCCCATAGTGTCCCCATGTGGTGATGTGTCACTAGGAAGGAAAGGAGCCACAGTGTTCATAAGGATCTGGGATGTTTCTGATATGAAGATCCACAGACAGAGTCTTCAACTGAGAATCAATTTAAATTATTTGCATTTGGAAAAATGCTGATAGTCATATTTTAAAAACCACCCTCCCTTTCTCTTCCATCACCCCGACGCTTTATCCCTCAATCCTTCATCCCCATAACCATTCATCCTTTCATCCCTTCACCTTTCATTCCTTAATGTGTCCTTTTCCTTCTCTCCTCTATTCATACACCTACAGTTTCTCTTTCTGTCTCCCCTCATCTATTTCAAATGATATGTACTTTCTGGGCGCTTCTTCATTCAGACCAGACAGAAAAACGCTTGGGACTAAATTCCCATACACTGAGAGAGCAAGCACTCTCCTGGTTGGCTCTCTTAAATTTACATTCATTACATTGTTTTAGCTTAACTTAACTGTAATATGTTCTTTCTCCATTTCAAACCTCAGTTACTCTAATATCTGTTGAAATATTACAAAATGGTTTCATTATCACAGGTCAACTTCTTCGGTATTCTATTCTGGACTTAGATCTCTCACTTCTTCTGTGTTACCTGTTATAATTCAATCAATATTTAGAAACATGTCAACATTCATCAAACAGTATCTTATCCCCAGATATGGAGCAAGTTCATTCTAAAACTATCATTCAATGCTCAGTTTGAACATCTGGGTTGGGGTGGAAGGTTTCTTCCAATCCCTAAAAGAAAAATGTAAATTGTGAATTTTACAACCATGTTGACATTATACATTATACACACTCACCCCTTTTTACACATGAACTCATGTGTAAGAAAATCCTGTAATGTGGAGGGGGAAAAAGCTTTCAGGTAAATATTGGTTATTGAAACACTCAAGCCCCCAGGAAGTGCGCCGGACTCAGATGGAAATATTCTTGCTGGCCAAACGGCGATAAATGGACTGTACTTATATAGCGCTTTATCCAGTCTTTACGACCCCTCAAAGCGCTTTTACATACTACATGTCATTCACCCATTCACACCCTTTCATACAGAGCAGTACCACTTGCTCTAGGACCTAACATTCACACACATTCACCATGCCATCAGGAGCAACTCAGGGTTAAGTATCTTGCCCAAGGATACATCGACATGTTGACTGCACGGGCTGGGATCGAACCCACAACCTTCTGGTTGAAAGACGACCGCACTCCCTCGCAGCCACAGTCGCCCTACTATACGGTACTATACTTCCGTTTGGTTGCCAGGCCCGGAAACACTTTTTCCCATTGACTTACATGGGGAAAGAGTGGTCTGTAAATCGTTGGATAATCTTTTTTAAACTAAATAAACTACCCAGTATGAACACTTGTATAGCCCTTATTAAAAACATTCGTTCCTCAAGTTGTAATAATGTGCTAATAACGTTATTCTGAGAGTTATTTCCCTCTGCATTATGAACGCGCATCTAACCCACAGGACCGCGCCGCCCGGCACGTTCATGTTACGTGTCCCGACAGAGCACACTGTGCTCACAGGGAGGGTGGGGGCTGGAGCTATTGGAGCTACAACGAGCCGTTAAAGGCAGAGAGTGAAATTCATTGAATACACGCAGTTTACAGAGATGCTGTTTGAGAAACCAATGTGAGTTGCGTTTATCTTTACCCATGGATGCACAATAAGAACGGACCCATATTGTCTTACTGCCAGCCCACGGAGCTGTAATAATGGATATATTGCACATGTTTGCTGTAATTCATTATCATACTACATGGGCTGTATGATTAAATCTTGTACCGTAAATGTTGTATTAAAAAAGTTAATATTACTTATTATTATAAGTATATATATATATATATATATATACTTATAAAGCTGATGATGGATTACTGTGGTGGAGTTAAAATAACAATAGCCTATTTATTTTTCAAATGTGATGGAGTAAAAGGATAGTAACTGTGATTATTCATGTTAAGTAGCCCACAAGTAACTAAAACAATTGCAAGTGCAATAAGAAGCTACAGGAACGTTAATCTACGTCGGTAATATTAACTTTATTTAATACAACATTTACGGTACAAGATTTACATCATACAGCCCATGTAGTATAATATTTTACAAATGATGAATTACAGCAAACATGTGCAATATATCCATTATTACAGCTCCGTGGGCTGGCAGTAAGGCGATATGGTCCGTTGTTATTCCATGGGTAAAGAGGATCATGTAGTGCCGAACACATAACATGAACATGCCGGGCGGCGGGGTCCCGTGGGCTAGATGCGCGTTCATAGTGCCGAATGAAATAACTCTCAGAATAACGTTATTAGCAAATTTTTACAACTTGAGGAACGAATTTTTTTAATAAAGGCTATACAAGTGTTCATACTGGGTAGTTTATTTAGTTTAAAAAAAATTATCCAACGAGTTACAGATCACTCTTTCCCAATGTAAGTCAATGGGAAAAAGTGTTTCCGGGCCCAGCAACCTAGAGGAAGTGTAGTACCGCCGTTTGACCAGCACAAATATTCTCATCAGACTCCAGCGCACTTCCTGGGGGCTTGTCATGAACGTGCGGTGCTGTTACGTACGCAAATTGACGTGCTTGATGTGATCGAGCATTTTGGTTAAAGTTGCGCATGCTCTATGAGTGCACATACGGGTACTTCTCAGGCATGCCGGGTAATCTGTGACGTTTCACTCTCTCAAAAGTTGAGCCATTTTATCATCATGCGTAGGGTTGGGAACCGAAACTCGGTTCCAGATGAGAACCGATAAGAAAATGCCGGGTACCGGGTACCCATACAAAATACACAATTTCGGTTCTGCTTAACGGTCCCTAAACGCGGTAGACCCTGTATTCCAGCGGGTCCGTCTGCACCGCGGTGCTGCGGTGACCCGGTGGAATACAGGGCGGACCTGGAGAATCACAGAACGGCCGGTCGTCAGCGGGCCGTTGACGGCCGGCTCGGTACGCTGACGGCCGGCACCGCCCTTCATTTTTTTAAACGGCATCATATAAATTGCGCTGACAGGCGACAGAGGTCCACAGTTGCCCCGCAGCGATGCTCCCCCGCCCTCCCGTAGACATTTCACGAGCTCAGTCACTTCATAACACCAAAGATAGGTCGCGGTAAACACTCTGAAGTGAGGCTCCACTACACTAAAAAAGAAAAAGAAAAGGCAAAGTGTAATGCCTGTTAATAGCTTGCCACAGGCATAGCTCAGTTAAAATAAAGCACAGCTATTGTGCAATACATTTGTATTGCATGTATATTTTTTAGTAACAATTTCAGTTAAAGCTTTTAAGAATAAATATATTTTTGTTATCTAAACGTTTGACCTCTTTATTTTACAATTTTGGAATCGAAACGGGGAATCGATAATAACCGGAATCGATAAGCAGAACCGGAATCGAAATCGGAATCGATAAATTTCAAACGATACCCATCCCTAATCATGCGCCAATGAGCAACTCTCATAGGAATGAATGAGGCCCCGTCTCCCACGCTGTATCCAGTTCTTATTATACATCCATGCAAACACTGCGTAGAGCGCATTTGCCGCCATCTTGTGTATTGTGGATGCACAAAGTTATATGTAATATATTGTCTTTATATTTTAGTTAAATAATTCTGTGAGGGTTCTGCTATGTTGTCAATTATATTATCTTATCAATGATTTTGTGGTAATTAAGGAGTCTCATGATTGAAATACAGTGTTAATAGCCAAGTTGTATGTGCTATTGAAAGCTGTTGCATTTGCCGCCATCTTGTGTATTGTGTATGGACACAGTTAAATGTAATATGTTGTCAATTATATAATCTTATCAATGATATTGTGGTAATTAAGAAGTTTCATGATTGAAATACAGTGTTACTAGCCAAGTTGTATGTGCTATTGAAAGGTGTTGCATTTGTTGACTCACTCCAGTAAAAGTACCGGAGAATGAAACCTAACTTTGACTCTTGTCAAAATTCTTCCCTTTTATCAGGGGCGTAACACTTACTGTATATATTGTGTGCACTCCTTGCTTCTTGTCCTCTTGTCTTCCCGGGCTGCAACCCAACAACATGTCCTTTTCTGCTCCGAAGTAAAGTACCCTTTTGCACCTTCATTGCACCGCCTCCGACTCCCTTTCTCTCGACACTACAATAGTGTATTTAATTCAAATTACGACATATCCACATTGATTTTAATTTCTAACACTATACAGGTATTTGATTTGTGCACTGCGACCTGTTTAGCTT